CCTAACCGGTCCTAACCCCGCCTCTAAATCTTAAACTCTTAGATTCTAAGCCCCATAAATCCGAAAGCCGCAATGCAAAGCGAGTGGCCGCCAGCTGAGCCTCCGCCATGGGCAAAGCCGCTCTCAGAGCGGGGGCGGAGAGGGGCCGCTAGAGAAAGGGATGGGAGCCGAAAAGGCAGCGTTTGGGGGTTTCCATAGGCTTTATAGTGCTTCTATAGGGCTTCATTAGGGCCCATAATAGTGCCTATAAGGCTTAAGTAGGGCTCATAATAGTGTCTATAGGGTTATAAGGGTCCTAGGTTTTAGGAGCCCGGAGCCGGTAGCGTCGATGTGTTTGGTGAGGGTTTTGTGAGGCTTTCACCCAGCATCACCTCTTGGCATTTTCGGGTTTAGGATTTAAGGGTTTAAGTGTTGAAGAGTTTAGGGTTTAGGGTTTCGGGACCTAGGAAACTTCCAAAAAAGCTTGTGGGTTCCGGGCTGTAGCAGGGCTTCTGGTTGCCATAAGACCAGGGTGAAGAGCCAAGACTTCTCTGTGGGTCCCGGGAAATTTGTTTCCTATAAGGGTTCCTCCGAGGTTCCTTTGTATCCGACCTTTTAAAAGGGTAGTATGGGGCCTGCTTGGGGTCATAATGGCTCCTTGAAGCTTCGTTTAATTGAGGCTTCCTACCAGGGTTCCTGTGAGGTTCGTTTAAGGGTTGCGGTTACAATAATGGTTCCTTTAAGGGTTCCTAAAACCAAACCCTAAACCCTAAACCCTAAACTCCTCGTAAGATGCTCCCAGCCCACTCCTTGACTCTTTTCTTCCTGCCCGCACGTCGCCATTCCGAGCTGGAGGATGCCTGAGGCTGCCCTGTTCAGACCCACGCACACCTCATCTTACTAGGAGTAATACTACTATAGCAGTGATCGTAATCATAATAATAGCAATCATAATACTGATAATAATTTCAAGAGGTCTAAGACCCCGAACGAGAGCTTCAGGGTCTCGATGTCCTTGAATCTTTTTCGTCACTCAGCTACTCCTTGTCGAACTCCGATCACCGCAAACTATTCCCATGACCAGTGGCACCACTCCCGTGCTACATTATTGTCATTACTGTTATGTGCACTTCCTGTGACAACTCTCGACCGTGTCGCCCTTAATCACTTGCTACTTCTCGTGCTGCCATTTTCTGTTATTTTACAGGTTTCTACAAGTATGCGAGGTCAATACTAGTTGCCGTGAGACACGCCGCCGTGTTGTTTTTCTTCCCAAAATGTAGCAGGTGCAATTGCAAGCCTATCTCCGCTTGAGGCGACTGTTGCTATATTTACCACGATCATGATCGTCCGTGTATTGTTGGTCGTGTACCTACCCTTTCAGCACCATGATCGATGATGTTACTGCGTTGTAGAATGCGTATCCACGACAACCGCACCCATCATGACACCCCCGACGGTGGAACAAGCAATGAGCCGACGACTACTCCTCACACTCATTCTTGACAGCTCAGCCCTGATGGCAGGTGTCCCGTGACTCACGATTCCGAGAACTGGCGCCAGTATGTTCCCGGACGGGATTTGCTGATCTTCATATATCACCGATTACGCAACAGTATCGCTGACTACGAAGCAAAGTCTGAGCAGGGCACTGCATGAACAGGTGTGGAGGAACTTGCTTAGATGGGACCCTGGGATAGCCAGATTGTTAATCTCTCTTGAACAGTTCTCTGTGGATCAGGTTCCGGAATAACTCAGATTCCCAGGGGCCCGGTAAGTAGTGCTCCAGCATTCTTTGGTTCGCGCGTTTTTGCGCGACGCGTGGCGCACTTCATTACCGTTGGCGGCGGTCCTCCGCCGGCTGTGGCCAACCTGCTCCACCACCGGGAATAATAAAACAAACAATAGTAATAATACTAATAGTAGTAATAATAACAATAATAGTAATAATATAATAATAATAATAATGGTTTCGTTTAAAGCCAACTTATGGGCCCGTATTGCTCGAACAAAGAAACACATGCCATGCAACATGCGTATTACGTTCATCAGCCCTGGGCAAATGTTCTAGTTCATCCCGCATGACATCGCAGGTCTACGGGCTGGTATATTGCCATGTCCGAAGCGGTTTTTGCTTATCGGAAAATTTCTCTCTCTGAATGACGACTTGCACAGCAAATTGAACCATCTAAGAACTGGCGGCTGTCCCTCGATACTAGACATCCAGACTCCTGTAGTCAGGTCCCCTACGTCAACCCTAAACCCTCAACTTCCCAAAACCCTACACTTCCTAAAACCTTAAACCCTTAACTTCGTAAAGCCTGAAATCCTAAACTTCCTAAAACCTGAAATCCTAAACTTCCTAAAACCTAAGCGACGACGGTGAGAGAAGGCGGGGCTTCAGACATGGCCGGGGCCATCTCGGAGCTTTCTGCGCCCTCCTGGAAGGTGGGTGGGGCAACAGGACGGTTTAGGGTTTAGGGCCTAGGGTTTAGGGTGTAGAGTTTAGGGTTTAGGCTATAGGGTTTAGGGCCTAGGGTTTAGGCTATAGCGTTTAGGGCCTTGGGTTTGGGGTTTAGGGTTTATAGGCTATAGGGTTTAGGGGCTAGGGGTACCCGACATGAATAGTAACAGTAATGAGTAAGAGTAAGAGAAAGAGCAAGAGCAATAGTAAAGCAAGAACAATGAGTAAGAGTAAGAGCAATAGCAAAATTAAGAGTAATGAGTAGGTTGCGAGCAAGACAAAAGAGTAAGAGCAATAGTTAAAAGTGAGAGTAATGAGCAAGAGTGGGCAAAGGAGTAACAGCAATAGTACAAAGTAAGAGACAGAGTCACAGTTATTGTAATAGTAGGTGTTAAAGTAGTAGTAGCAGAAGTAGTAGCAGTAGTAGTAGTAGTAGTAGTAGTAGTAGGAGTAGTAGTAGTCGTGGTGGTGGTGGTGGTGGTGGTGGTAGTAGTAGTAGTAGTAGTAGTACTACTACTACTAATGATAGTCACAGCATTAGTACTTGTAATGGTATCCGACATTCCAGAAACCCTGTAAGTTCAGAGATGGAACGGATTCTCGGATTTGTCACGGCTCAAGATCTTAGATTGGCTTTCGAATTATGCAGGCCGGTCAATATACGAAAAGCTACAACATCCATAGCCCCTCACTGAAAACGTGATGTCTGTCCGGAAACGCCAACACAGCACAAAGCCACCATGCACAAAGACAAAACACACAGAGACTCCCGCATGCACATGCACACAAACAAACAAGCCCGGCAAGCCCTGAACCATCGAGACCTCAGTGGCAATCCAATTCGCGAGAAAATCTTGAAGCGACAACCTGGGACCCCGAACAACCAAGACTTCCCGCAGACTCCTTGGGTGGCTCCTTGCACAGAATTTAGGTTCAGGGGTCTGGCAAGCTCTCCTAGCAGGGTTTTGGAATAATACTTAAGCTTTGATTCACCTCACAGCCGAAAAAGCGAGAGTCTTTACCAGACTAGTCATGGTATTGTGCACCAAACAAACGTAGACTGAGGCCATAGTACTGTATTGGACGAACCAGCCATTTCGATCCCAAGATGTGGACAACTCCCCGAGGTAGCAGAAATCGCAATGCACAGGGTGCGCGAACGTTTGTCCCACCCACCATGCACATGATGGCCTGTTCTTCCGCCATCATCTCCTGTCAAGCTTGCAGCAGCATCGCATCGATAAGCCTGTTGTCTAGCGAGCTTTGCTCAGCGAACGTGTCTGAGCTGCACAAACGTTGATAGTTGGATTCCTGATCCACAAAAGGACTGTTGCGGCAGCTCTGATCGGCACTCACTGCTGCTAGTGTCACCATAGTCGCCGACTGATGGGCGGGACATGGCAAACCCTAAACCCTAAACGGCCCTAAACCCTAAACCCTAAAGCTGACATGATACTGTGGCGCCTCGGCAACCACGTCACCGCCTGCATCCTGAGGTGCTTCGGCAGCGACCAGGGTTACCTGGCAGGCCAAAGAAGATGACCTAAAATGAAAAATGCTGTTCCTCTTCTGATGATGCCGTGATGATAAATTAGGACAAGAGTGTCCTCAGAACCTGCTTGACCCGAAAAACACGATGAGGCACCTCGCTCTCCTACGAGACACAAAGCGTATGCATCCAGGATCTCGTGAAGCTGTCATCTTGTGGTAAATGAGCTGATCGAGAAACGACCTACCTCAGCAAACCACAAGTACACAGGGCCATGCTCCAATACATCCGCACTCCAACACTTCCATAGCCCCCTTGCAAGCTCCACTGCGCTGAGCGCAACCCACAGCCTCAGCGATGGGATCCGCATGGCCAATGGCAATGTCTGCCCGAGAAAGGCCCAACGCCTGTTGGGGACGGGGTCGGGCCGAGCCTAGCAACCAGCCCAAGCACTGGAATAGGATCGATGCTGCCGAGCATCATCAACTAAGGCCCTATAGGATCAAACCTAACTACTCTGTTATCGCTGTTGCCTTGTGATTTGCGACGCCACTGAGCTTATCTAATGTAGTCAGCTGAGTGCAGCTTCGTGGTTGCTGAAAACTGTCTTCTTCAGCCTCAAACTCTGATGCCAATCGAGTTTTCGGAAAGGAAGGAAGCCAGAGTAGACCCTAAGCAGTGGGGATCCCTGTTACCCTACACTGCTAGACTGATAGATGCCCTTGAAGGCCCTTCAACTCCCTGTGAATCCTGAGGAAGGACCCGACAAACGGTGGCCCCACAAGCAGTTTCAACCCGCGCCCTCATTCCCCCTTAAACCCTGAACACCCCAGACACCCAAACCCTATAAAGCCCAAAATTCCGATTCCGAAACCTATAAGCCCCAAATTCCGAAACCTATAAGCCCCAAATTCCGAAACCCTATAAGCCCAAATTTCCGAAACCCTATAAGCCCTAAATTCCGAAACCCTATAAGCCCAAATTTCCGAAACCCTATAAAGCCCTAAATTCCGAAAGCCGTAAACCCCCGGAAGCCCAACAGCCCCCGGATCTCCCCAGCCCTGCGGCCTCAAACTTCGCCACGAGAAGCGAGTCGGCGCCCTCCGAAACATCGGAGATACGGTGGATGATGATGATGATGATGATGACGATGATATATATATATATATATAATATATATATATATAATATCTATATATAATATATATATATATATGTATATATATATATAATATATATATATATATATCCTGCAGTATGCATAATAAGGAATATACCATAGTTCTCATAGTTTAGGCTCCTTATAAGGTAATGCAGGATTTCCATCATCAACAGTATGACAAGCAAACGGGGATCCGCTGTTAAGGCGCTAGGGGCTTAGGGTTCAGGGTTCAACTTAAGCTGCACTGGTAAGGAAAACATGGCAGTTCGTTGCAATAAAACCGTATTGTTCTGCTGACGTACAGTATTTCGATTGGCAACAAGAGCGCACACATTGCACCAATGTATCACTTCCTTGAGAACCTTCAATCTTCAAACAGCCAGCCCGGCTCCCTCTGTAGGAAGCTTGGAAACCAGACCTCTTCAACACAGCCCCAACCTATTATCATCCAAGCCCCTGTCCAAAAGCTGCAAATGCTGGTAGTCTCTGCTCTCGCTCTCCTGAAATCCTTCTTGCACACAGACAGTAACCCATGTGGTAGACATTATGGCAGCCTTGATCGCAACGCTCTATAGAAATGTCCCTGAGCCCGACCTTCGGGAACTCGCACTTCTCTGGCAGCCGCGCAGGGCCCTGCAACAAGGGCAGCGCATTGGCCTCGGGGCTGCCTTTCCTCAGTGCCATGCAGAGCAACTTCTGAAACAAAAGATGGTTTTGGGGTGCCTTGTATTAAAGTGTAGTTAAAATGCGGGTTGTAGGGTGCAGTTTTGGGGTTTGTTTTGATAGTGTTACATTGGGACTACGAGAGCGCAGCAGGGCCCCCACATCTTAATTCACAGGACCCTGCAGTCATACAGCCGGAACATACCAAGCAGAACAGGCGTCTTGGGCAAGACGACGTGGGCTCCGCCATCGGACTCCTGTGCAAGCTCCATTTTATGTGCGTTGACCACGTAAGTTCGATTGTTGCGAGTTGTTCCGGAAGAGACATGGATGGCCGAGTCTCGGCAGGGCATAGGTGCTGCTTGCTGCAACTAAACTACGAATTTTCGAGCAATGCAAACACCACATGCCAACATCCAAGATGTCAATCTGCATGCCAACTTGATTCAGAGCTGCGTCGCTGTGCTGCATGTTTCGATACATCGCTTCATCGGGGTGGTGCTGGGTTCAACAACCGAACAGGCTGGACAGCAATTCATCAATCCATTGAAGAGGCGATTTTGTGAACATGCTCTTCATTAACATTGCACGTTGACAATGCTGAATGGGCCTTGTCGATGACGATCTGTAGGCCATGGAAGGCCAAGAAGGTTTTGGCGTGGTCGTCACTCACGAACGCAAGTATGTTCCTCGGCGTGTCCGGCAATCCTCGACCATCCAGTGCAGACCCTACAGCTCCATGTCAGATCCTGAAACACACCCGAGGATCTTGAGCTTTGCCAAGGAGATCCGATCTCCCACCTGTTGTGGATAGGTTCGGACCTGATGCGGGACAGCTTGACACTGCAAGCCTTGACTGGAAGACCTCTTTTAAGTGTGCATCGCTTCATGTTGGAAGACGGCAGGCGGTGTCCATCAGCAACAGCTGGAAAAGAACTCAAGGTCCCGACCAGCAGCCACAAAGCTCTTAGTCTGGCCTTCATCCAAGGACAGGCAGCCGCAAAGCTTGAACAGCAAGTCACAGTCAGTATTCAGCATTCACACCGAATCTGTGCTGAGCGACTGTACGGCTTTGAGATGCCAACACGACCAAGTACTCATAGACTTAGACTCTGAGTGGAGCACCAGGTCTGCGACACCACTCATTGCAACGGCAGAGAGGAAATCGGTTTCGCGGTACAAACCTCAGGACATAGTTTCGGCATGGGATCTTACGGCACTTTGTGATTCGGGGCTGCAAGCACGGTGCCAATGTTTCTGAGTCCAGCGCGGAGAAATCTGGCATAGTCCTCCGTGTGGAAAGCGGCATACACCTTCAAGCTTAAGTTCTAGTTTGTTGAATAGAGGAGGAGGAGCCGAGTACCGTTCACCAGGGTAAAGCAACAAAGTCGAACTTGTAGACAGCTTCTAAACGACCCCCTTCCTGCAGAAAGCTAGAGCTCCTGCAGCTGATCAAACGCTGTTTTAACACTATTCTCGGTCTCAGAACTGATGGTGGGGTAGTCCGGTCGAGGCCACTGCGCAGTGCCTGCGTAGCGAAGCTGACCAACGGATGCATCAGCAACTCACGGCTCATCTTGGAGAGATGACTCGAAAGCTCCTGGCTTGGAAATGCCAAAGACACCTGGACCTGCATAGGATCTCCGTGTCTTCAGGGCCAGGAAGGCTGCGCTGCTTGTGCTCGCTGCGCCTCTCTGCCGCTCAACTGCAAAGCCCCGAAACAGGCCAGAGTTTCGTCAGGTGCGAACGACATCAGGAGGAGAACAATGTACCTGACAAAATCTCCCGGCCCCCTCGTTCTGCGATCCTGCATACCCGCATACCGCCGCATACCCTTCTCTGTCAGCCACCAAATCCCGCGCATATTTAAGGCCCTCCAATCCTACTGACTGCGTACACATGTGGTTGATTGGATGGCGCACCTCCTGGCAGCCATCTCATACGGAGAATAGTAGTCCTGGAAGTGCGGAGACATTCACACAAAGAGCTGGCATGGCTGTCGTACTTCCAGAAGTCATGCCTTCGGATAGCCAATGGCCATTGCACTCATATACAAGTAGTGTAGATTCATGTGGTGACATTGTGTGGATTCATATATGTGCTTGGCAGCATGGCACCTCATCATCGTCTTCATCGGCCAGGCCGAATCCGCCCATGGCCTGTGCGCAGCTTGGACGCAGCTTGATCTGTTGTCGTCTCGCTGAAGCCGCTGAAGTATACCAGCGAAAGCAACACTGAATGCGTGGTTGTTTCGACGACATGACAATGTGAAGCTCCATCCCTTTGCCTGTCTCGCCCCGCGTTTCACCCTCTTTTTGCTGCCACGTCTGTCGTCCGATCTAGAACCAGGAGGAAACGTAAGCTTCTGATTCTCATCGTCATGGGCACAATGGCCAGTCCCCAGCTCCACGCTAGGCAAACTGCTGAACCTGCACAAGCCTCGGCGAGGATAGATTTTGCCACCTGCTTCTCGTGAAGTGCCTGGCGCCATCTTCGAAGACATCAGAAGTTCTAGGCATGGCAAAAGGCCACACTGAGGAAGGAATCTCTGTCACTCCTGCTGCATCTTGACAGTTGCAAGACCGACTGTATCTCGAGAATGCAGACAGAGTATTATTTTAGCATGCGCATGCGGTGGATCTGGGGGTGGGGACAATCAGTGTGGGGAGGCGAAAAACCCATCTGCCAACACAAACAGCAAGTAGTGTACAAACCTAAGCCATGGCAGCGACAATCCACCGCAGCAAAACAGCAGCATTCATGACACACACATCAGTAGCCAAGTCATGATTGATGACATCGTGATCGTAGAAGTAGTAGCATCAGTCGTCGTCGTGGTGGTCGTGGTCGCAGTAGTAGTAGTAGTAGTAGTAGTAGTAGTAGTAGGAGTAGTAGTAGTAGTAGTAGTAGTTGTTGTTGTTGTAGTAGTAGAAGGAGTAGTAGTAGTAGTAGTAGCAGCAGCAGCAGCAGCAGCAGTAGTAGTAGTAGTAGTAGTAGTGGTAGTAGTGGTAGTAGTGGTAGTAGTGGTAGTAGTGGTGCTGGTGTTGTTGTTGTTGTTGGTGGTGGTGCTGCTGCTGCTGCTGCTGCTGCTGGTGCTGCTGCTGGTGGTGCTGTTGCTGCTGCTGCTGCTGCTGCTGCTGGTGGTGCTGCTGCTGCTGCTGCTGCTGCTGTTCCTTTTCCTGTAACTGTTGCTGTCGTCGTTGTGGAAACAAGACTAGACGTGAGCTAGTAAAAAGCAAACATTACAACGTCAGGACAGTAAGCACCAGGAGTTGAACAGGTGTGACTAGTGAGAGCAAGATCGATGATGCGCGATGCGATAAATCTGCCTGTGTCTGCCCTCAGCGTAACGCTTTGCAAACGACGCCAGCTGCCTGGTAGGCATTCAGGAGCGGCTCGATGGTCTGTGAGATGGCCTGTCTTGCAGTGGCAGCCGGGCTAATCCGAAGGACAGAACCATCTTGAAAGTCAAGCCAGGGAACACGACTGCTTGAGGAATGCAGAAGAATGTCACGACAAGAAGGGCGCGACGAGCAGGTTAGCAAAATATAAACACATCATGTTACACCAGAGGAGCACATTGGCTATGACTGGGACAGTGCCGAATACTTCTAGACGGCTCGTGTTTCGAGAAGTATCAACTAACGACAGACGGTTTGAGACAAAAACGCAGGTCGACTATACTGATGAGTGACAACCCAGGCAAAACCATGTTCAGCAGCGGCTTGACATCTCCGGATGACTTATCCTCCAGGTCTGAATTTATGCACAGGCGCACAGTAGCTGACAGAAGCAAATACTCATGATGGTAACTGCACGTAATCTAGACAGCGGATCCGCTCTGAAACCGGTCGCGCAGGCACCGGAACACAGCTATACTGCCTTGTATCCGAATCATTGTCCTGGTCAAAACTAGGGCAACTAGGGAATTTCAATCGTGAGACTGGCAAGGGAAGGCGAGGCTTCCTGCCTTGAGACCTAGCTTGGTGTCGTACTTCTCAGTGGCCTTCTCCTCCGAACACAGGAGGGAGTTGCCCGGGGCAAGAAATCTGCAGTTACTTGCATCTTGCGCAGACATTTCCGAATGCTCTGGCCCTCTACCCTAGATTGAAACAGTCGATCCACAGCTTGTCTTGGAGCGCCGGAAAGTCTACGCACGGCCCGGTCCTCGACCCTAGACTCTCAACCGGATACCAAGATCCCGCCGACAGAAATTGGGGTTCATGGGAATGGCACACCACTAAGTAATGGCCACGATGCCAAATTAATAGTAGCAGTGATGTTGCCTGGATCATACCTAGCTCGCTGATAAGAAGCCACACGATGATGGACCTGATGGTGTTGTTCACATGGAAATCACAATCAGAACCGGACAGGCTTTATAGTAAGCAGTACGAGTATATTGGTACCGCTGTCGTCGTCGTCGTTGCCGGAGTAGCAGTGGCAGTCTCCCTCGGCGGCTACTTTACAAACTCTAGCTAACTTCTTCTAAAGGATGCCTTAGGAGAAGACAAAGCACTGTCAAGACTGGACCCATCGATGTACACAGTAGAAAGTTTCTAGTAGAAAGTAGAAAGCCACCTACGGAAATCCCAAGGTCTAGAAGAAGATCGAAGCCCATCAATCTGCCTACCGCAAAGACATCGAAAGAAGATCTGTCCAAAAGGGCATGCATCTCACAACAGCCCTCTCTAACACTGTGAAACTCTGGCGGTCTTTCGCTTTTTGGGCCTGATTCTGCCCCCTCCCCAGAAGAAGATACAAGGAGAGCATCTCGAAGCGGAGGCAGCACCTTGGAGGCATGGGAACTTGACCTTCCTGTTCCTTCTGCTCGTGCCGGTGGAAGACAAGGCTCCACACGAATGGGAAAATGCCAGGCTTGGAGTCAGAGTTGACACCGCAAAACAGGGCTGAGCCCTGGAATGCCTTTGACATATCGTCCAAACTTGGGAAATCCTCCCAACAGTGCACATAGCCAGGCCGCTCGTGTGTCTCCACGAAGACCCGTTGGGTGGTGGATCGAGGCTGCTGGAGGTGCAGGTCGACCTTGTGAGCGCAGAGCATCTTGGGGCTCCAGGGCCCCAAACCGAGGTTTTGCTTGTTTGGACTTCCTTTGAGGCGGCTGGTCTCAAAAAAACCCTCGCAACGCCTGCTTGATAGTGAGATTGACTACGTATGTGGTCTGCCAGGTTTGAACGAGTCTCAGAAGTCGGAAAAAGCGAAAGGGAGACGCTGGCCGGAGCCGACCGGTGCTCTCCACTTCTTGTCTCTGACGCACGACTGCCTCACGCTGAAGATTCGTCAGGAGTGGATCAAGAGTGTCAAGGCCCATGTCTGAGCTTTTGGCTCTGATCGATCGTGTGCGATCACGCAGATAGGAGTAGACCTTCCGCAGCAGGCTTGGAAAGGCAACATCAAAGCAGTTGAGCAATGCTTCGTAGAAGTAATTACAGTTTAGCAATCATGGTAAGAATAGCAGTATAACAACAATAATGTTAGCTAGGCTTGCTACTGCCACGTCCGACCCAGTATTGTTCCTGGGATGGAGGTTTGACTCTAGGCGGAGGGGGCTTGAGTTGCAGTTGTGAAAGCTTCCAAAATCTCGGTGTTTCAGCGCCAGAGGCGAGCGACTCAGCAGCACAATCTTAGTGATTTCGGTACTATTCAAACAAGACACATAGAATGTTTGCGTCGGCGTATAGCAGGCAGGCCTTATGTGGTAGAGTATGGTTCTTCATATCTGGTTTGTCTGGTCATTCACATTATTTTGTGCCACAGCACTTGCTTACGTCGAGCAGTGTGCATGTTTCTCGTCTGGATATGTAGCTGCATATACAGACATGTATCATACAATGTAACCGATACCCTAAAATCTATAGGCCCTATAGTATATACATGACTGAGCTCATCGGCTGCCTCGATGTATGGGATGGCTTGGACAGCAAAGCCGGGCTTCGGATTGCTGTCGAAGTCCAAGATCTCCTGCCCAGGCTATGCAGTCCCTGGCAGTGCCAGAGCCAATAAACAAGTGCAATTAACAGCGATAAATATAGTTAGTTGTTATCACTGCTGTTCGTACTATATACTTTAGTGTCACGCTATGATGTTGCTATTGCTAATTATTGCTCTTGTACCTACTCTCACCGTTGCTTCGACAGCCGTTACTATACTTGACTCCCTTCCCACATAACTTGTAGGATGCCAGGGTTTACTCGAGTGGTGGGGAGCTATCTGCAGCTCGCGGCTCCGTCATCAGGTACTCCATTGTCTTCCAGCACGCATCCAGGGATCTCACATCCTGGCTGCGGTAGGCCTGGCGCAGCACATGCATTGGGTGTTCATCGCAATTTCCAGATATGCATGTCATGGCGTATCTGCACACCCCTTAAGAGCGCTAACAGCTTCCTTCTCTGGGCTCCACCTTGCTTCAAGCAGTTCGATGAAGCACCCTATAAGAACTCATCGGAAGCCTTATCAGCAGAACTTCGCTGATATTTTTTCGTGGCCAGCTTCAAGTCTACCTGAGCGCAGGCACCAGCTTCGGCTATCCATGAAGACATGGCTTGAGGTCCCTTTACCGGGGCTCCCACTTCGGGATTCTTCGGGTCGGTCCCCTTCTTCCACTCGAACTTGTCAAGTTGCCGCGTCATCTCGCGCTCTCGGGCCTGAAGACCGAGTGTGGGAGCAGATAAACGGGGCGGTGGGCTCCGAGACCGTGCAGGGCTATGTGTTATCTTCGAGGAACCGGTTTGTCTCCCGTCTGAGTCGGCGGCTTCATCTCGCGAGCACATTCCTGTGAGCTCTCCAACGATCGGCCCGCCATCGATGCCTCCACCCTGGCAGCGTAGGCTCGGGAAAACGCGGGCAAACAACTCAGGGGCACGGCAAAGGACTTCAAGGCCTCTGCTTCATTGAAGCTGACCATTGAGACCTGGCTATGCGGGAGACTCAAGAAGACTGTCAGGTCAGTGACCCGAACCATGACCCGCGGATTTCAAAAGAAGTCCATCGGACTTTCGCGCATGGCATACCCTTGACCCTGCCCACAGCCGCGGTGTCATCAAACCCACTCTCTTTTGCTCCAACTCATAATCCTCATCATGCCCAACAACCATCATCCGTATCACACTACTTACCATCAGTTTCTGGACAAGCATGCGAACATGATCATGCTCATCATGATCACCGTCCTCATGGTCATCGCTATCATCGGCATCATCAGCAGCATCATCTTGGATGTCATGGGCAATACGATTCTCATTACCACCATCACCATCTCAGTAGCACCACCAACAATTTCCTCAGCAAGATTTGCGGTCGGCACATCTGCCAGCAGCTTCATCCCCACCATAGTTGCCATGACCACTGCCTCCCTCACTATCGGAGTACCGCCATCAGTAGTATTCGCATCGCCATCACCTTCACCACCACCACCACCATCATCATCTTCATCATCATCTTCATCATCATCATCATCATCACCATCACCATCATCATCACAAACTTCGTCATGCAGATAGTACGCCGAGCACGGCAACAAGCATCGTTCAAATGCTAGAATCTCCATAGTAGCATACCCAGGTCTACTTCGCACCAATGTGCCCACCTCCAACAATCAGCTGTTATGCCTGCTGTCCTGTAGAAGTCATTGCTGACACCAGAAATGATATCCCGGCATATTCAACTGTCAACTCCTATTCTGAAGAAGAGCCACTCCAACACGAATCTCCAGTCGGCTCCTCTGACAATCAGCAAAGGTCAGGGTAAGGTCACCAGTCAATAACCCCCTACAGGAGCTGAACAGTGATCGGCGGAGCCGGCAACGTTAACAGTCACCATAGACATTCAAATCGTCACGTTCAACTGTATCACCGTCATCATCACTGGTATCAGCATCAGCCTCAGCATCATTATCATCATCATCATGAGCAGCAGCAGCAGCACCAGCACCACCACCGCCCACGCCACCGCCAGCAAGAAGCAAACACAACATAACGTAATTCTGGGTATCCTTCGTCAAAGTCGTAACAATCTTGCCAGGTGGACAGGAGCCCTTTCATTCAGATGCGTTTGGAACCGTGCCGCGCGTTGTGCCCTCATGTCCCTGTCGCCCTGCCAGGTGAACAATCAAGGCATAGCAGGCAGGAATCCTACAGTGGGGCCCTCGTTGTGCTGGAGATGCAATTAACCCTCCAGAAGAAGGTTACAGAAACTGATGATGGATCCTCTGAGCCCGAAGTCACAGTAACAAAACAATTGCCGTTTAGACCATAAGGCTTCCTAACGACTGATGTGACGAAATGTCGCCACCGACTACAAGCTTTCTTGCGATTCAATGCCCTTCAGAAACTTCTTTGGTAAATCCACGGAGGGAACCGCGGATCCCTCCCCATGTGAGATGCTCGAAAGGGGTGGGAGTGAGGGAGGGACGGGGGGATCTGACTACTAAAACAACCTAGTCTGACGCGTCGTGTTGTGTGCGTCCTTGTCGGGCTTTGTACTCGCTTTTGTAGCTTTTTGTACCCCACAAGTGCCAAAAGCCAGTCAAAGCCCCGCGTAGGATCCAAATCTCGCAGGCCAACAAACTGAAAGAACGATTCTGGAACGCCCAAGACCACACTTGATCATCCACCGGTAAACAAACTCCAAGAAGAATTGAAATTATTTTCATCATATAACAATCAATAATGTAATTTCGCACGGTCCTGCGTCAAGGACCGGCTGCTAAATTGCTCATCCGCCGCCTTCGAAGGCCAAGCTGCCTCGCGTCGCACGAGACGCAGTGCATTCATGGCTACATGGCTGGATTGTGCCCGTGCTTGTGATACCTATCGACTCCAGTGCCCATCAACCTAAAGCCGGAGCAGAAAAGCATCTATACCGTGCCGGGATGCGCCCCAACGCCTAACACCCGTAGCCTTCTGCTCTTCAGTTATCCAGCCCCTCAGGCAACAAACGTCACCCACACCATCCACCAAACCGAGCACTAAGAAGCCTCCGAACCGCCGCTGATGAAAGCGTTGCAATACCTGCGCGTGGGCAAGATGTTGGAGCAGCACGTCTACCTCAGATTCCTTGATGCGAGTACTGAGGCTAGTCTTGATGCTGATACAACGGTTGCCATTGCTGATCTTCGTGTTGTTGACTTGGCTGCTGCAACTTTAGGTTCAACATTTGCCTGGCACTGTGTCGGTCTCCCATTGTCGATGTTGCTGTTGTGAATGCTGTCGCATAGGAGTAGGAGTACTAGAGGAGTAGCAGTTGGAGTAGTAGGAGTTGCAGCAACAGCAGTGGTAGGCGCAGTAGTTGCGGTGGTCGTCGTCGTCGTCGTCGTCGTCGTGGTCGTGGTGGTGGTGGTGGTGGTGGTGGTGGTGACGGTGGTGACAGTCGTGACGGTGGTGACTGTGGTGACGGTGCCGATGTGATGGTGCTGACGTTGCTGTTGCTGTAGATGATGACCGTGCCGTTCTGACTGCTGCTGTAATGATGATGAAGGTGATGGTGACGAGTGTGATGATGCCTCGTTGTGGTAAGTCATCGTCATGCTAGCTGTTGCAACATCGCCAGGTCCCCGAGTAGTCCGTTTCTTCGGCTTACATGTCTCATGTCTCCGCACATGGTTTGATTTGCGGACCTTAACCGTAGGCGTCCACCACAACACAAAAAACATGAAGAAACATTCGGCTGCTTCTGCCTTCACGCTGAGTGGAGGTGCACATTAAGATGAGGTGCGCGGTTGCTTCCGTCGTTGCTACCATTCCCTTTCATGAGCAAGTCTTCTGCCTCGCACACTTGCCGGTGTTTGTGTCTTTATTCCGAAACCCATTTCCATTCAGATCCAGTGCCAGCATTGCGAAGTTGGAGGTACTAACTCATTTACGTGTACTCCATTCCGGAGCACGGCGAGTCAGAGCGACAAGCATTCCCAACGCGATGCCAGAGTAGGGATACCGCAAAACTCCAATGAACGATCACACAATGGCAGCAGCAACATAGCAATAAGCAATAGCTGTTCTTCCAAATGGACGACAGAAGTTACACTCCGACAGCCAAGATGGAGGCAGACCAGAATCCGACTTCATCCTAAGCTAGGGCCCCGGGCTGCTGCAGAGTTTGGTTGAAGAGCGCTCGGAATTTGCCGGGTCGGACACCAAAGGAGTCCTGAATCTCATCAGAGAGCTCCTGCGAATTTTCGAGGCTGGCTCAGGGTGGGTTCCGGGGTTCTGGGGCTAAGGGCCAACAAGGCCCTAGGTCGTGGAAGCATGGGCCGCTGGTGTTTGTGGAGAACATCACGAGCAGCTTCAGCAAGCCTCGAGGCAATTATCACAGGATTGAGAAGTATACTGGTGTTACTGTCATGCCCGAGCACTGTCCTTAGACATCGGAATCTAAACCGTTAGAAAGGACACTCATTGCGCTGAAGCCCTACCGAGCCAAGCTCCTTTTGCCGCACGCGGCCGCCGGTGTTCTCCAACCTTCGCCAGGTGCCGGATTCCACTACAGCTTGGAGCGTTACCATGAACTGTGTAGCACGTACCCTACATCCCAAAGTATCCCGCCCTTGCGAGCAAAGGGCCACATTGCAACCAATCCCGACAGAGCCCTACACGGAAGCATGCCGGGGAGGGATGACAAGCAAGCAAGAGTATTTGCAGCAACAAGAAGATACACAGGTCAGGGACCTCAATTGTGGGATCTCAGAACTGATAAGGGCTAGGAAGCCGTGATGCTCCGAGTCGGATGATTAGGTGTCGGCGCTGTTGGTAGCAATCGTGGTCGTGCAGTCGTGTCGCGTTGGAGCTGCTGGCCTTTGCCACTTCATGATGACGAACAATAAGACGACTACTGACGACTATGATGCAGGTGGTGGTGAGGGAAGTGTGACACCGATGATGAGTGTTGCCACAGCCATTACCTGGTGACACCTGATAATGCATTATGCTACCGGTGCAGGTATTTCTAGCCCGGCACGATAATACTGCTGGCCGAACGTCGAAAAGCGTGCGAAACGCGGTCGACAGACACGGATAGGTGAGGAGCGAAGCAAGCTTGGATTGGAGGTCATGGCTTGCGGCTCCAGAGCCGTAAACTTGTTGTTGATGCTTCACCTTTTGAACACGAGAAATGTCAAAGCGCATATGCCAGGGCCTCTCATTGAGCCATGTTCGGACTTGCTCCCGCAGGTCCTCACATTTTGAATCGCAAGCTTCCTTTGCAACAGCCATGCGTGCTTGTTGGCAAATCATTGTAGGTTCATGAGCGAGACCACTGGACAGCTGCACACTGCGGACGGAACATATAATCTTGACTTCATGGAACCTACTGCGATAAAGCCTCAGGGCATGAAGTGCCAATGACCGCTGAGTATGCCCTGCAATCCTGCGGGCCCAGCCAGCAACCTCCAAAACCAAAGGAAAGCAACAACTGCCAAAGTCCAAGCACTTTCCAAGCCGTCCGAAACGTAGTCAAGAGAGGGGGGCCAAATATCTCGGGTATGCCCTCTTGGGATTCTCACAGCTGCGACGTCGGCCAAAGTGCTATAAACGACCGGCAAATTGAAGATAGTGGGCTTATGGCTGGTTACTCCGGTGGTGGCTATTGCCGGGGTCATTGTAAGGCTTCGGTCTGGCTTCGGCCTGGACCTGGCAAGTAGCTCTGCTAGCCCGAGACTATAAAGGGTCCTCATCTCTCTTCTTGTCGGGCTGCTTGGCCTTGTCCTTTCCACGATCCTTCCCTGGGCAGCACGAATTCCCGTAGGCATGATCTTCAGAGCCGGTTCGTGCCGTTCAAGATGCAGTCTATGGTTCTGAGAAGTGGCGCGAACATTCTCTTCTCTGCGCTTCGTCTGACTCTCGTCACATGTTTCTCTTCCTGGCATTCTGAGGGTTATCGCGATGTAAAGCTTCCGATCCATGCTTCCAGCAGCTGCGGATCCACCGGAGCTGGCCAACCCTCGGCTCCTGCCCTGCGAAATCCAAACCTCACAACCCGTCATTCCAGTCTAACAGCCGCCACGCTGGGTGCCGAACCTTTACCCTTCCTTGCAGGGGGCGGCAAGTGTGAGTCTTTGCTTGCAAAGGCAGGTTAATAAATCAGCAGAGATGAAAAGAGTATCAAACATCGCTTTTATTTCGTCTAGGCACTGCGTTACTGCGCCGACGGCAGCGACGACGATTGCCACTCGGACAACGACAGCGCCGACGAAAACGACGACCACAACTACGACAACAGGACGGCATGCTGCTGCAGCTAATTACTACTGCTGCGACGACGGCGACGACGACGACTACTACCGCGACGACGACTCTTACTATTCCTATGCATTTCGGGATCCTATTCCGGCTCAAATTATCGTTATTGCTGTTGTTGCTTTTGCTAACCCTGCTCCTGTTTCGAATCCAACTCTTGTTTTGCTAAAACTATGGGCCATTGCTTTCACGATTATGCATGCCCATTACCCTGTTTATTTTTGTATTAGTATGAGTATCGTCACGAGCGCCTATACTGCCGTTCGTATTAGTAGTAGTACTCATATCGGCGATAGTATTAGTATGAGTAGTATTAGTATGAGTGTTCGCATTAGCAACGCACTATGACGATGACGATTTTGACGGTGACCCCGGCTCTAACTATGCCCGTGACTCTGACTATGACCCTGACTATTGTCATGATCAGGACTATGCCTGTGTCTGCGACAATGACAATGACTATGGCCATGGTGAACAACTATGCCAATTCCTTGGCTATGGCAATAAACATGACCATGACAGTGAGGATGACAACGACCATGACGATGACTATGACTACCACCACTACTATTTCTATTTCTACGATGACTACCACTACCACTACCAGTACCACTACCACTGCCACTACTACGACTACTACTGCTGCTGCTGCTACGACTACTACTACGACGACGACGACGACCACGACGACCACGACGACGACGATTACGACGGCGACTACTTCTACTACTACTCCTCCTGCTGCTACTGCTGCTGCTACTGAGTTACTGGTAGGGTCGGGCTGCCTGTGATACACCACGCATTTCTATGGGTGCACCGAGGTTTGAAGCGGTGGAAAGCTCGGAACCCATAAAACACAGCAAGCGCCAGGGGCAAAGAGCATGCCTTAACACGCAAAATGCTTGAGAGAAGTAGGCTTCTACAAACTTCAATGCGACAGCCATGCAGACTCTCTTCTCTGCGGGTTCGACCATCTACCTCCACTCTGCTTGATGAACGGTGTCAGGACATGCCACAATCACCCCAATGTCAGACGAGATTCCCCTTCTCGCGCCCATACCATCTATCTCTGCTGGATGACCTGAAGCAGCTTCATATGCTTTAAGGTGACAGACAGCCAGGCTTAAGGATGTAGGGACTCGGAGGTTCCCCAGGGCCCATCGAAGAAACGGTGCCCATTCAATTTCTTCATGGGCATGCTGTCAACAGCTGAGGCAGACAACACGGCATCAAGACTGACCACGTTCCAAGCATATCTCACATCCCCAAAAAGGGCAAGCCGAGGTTCTTAAACATATCGAGATGTAAACCGCGTGAGTCTTCGTTCTCCATTTTCCCCAAAAAGAAGAAGTACATACATGAACCCTTATCAACACTCCATAACCAGAGCGATGTCAACCACCACTGCTATCCAACTGTGGGAACTTTCACAACAATCACCACGAGTTTCACTGTGCATGCTTGTCGGACAACCCCGGCAGCGAATCGGATTGCCAACCTGGAACGAGACCTCGAGCCACCCGCGCCGCGCCGCCTGGCAAGCAACGACAAGCTGCGCAACGGGCTCGTAGGCTCGTAGGCTCGTAGTGGGCTCATGACAAAGTGGCATCTGAATTGTCGAGGCAGATTTCCCAACGGTGGACTGTGGTGGCAAGACCTGGAGGATCTGGTTGACGAGGACGACCTGCATGATCTGCACGATCTTGGGCGCTCGTCTTAACAGCCAAGAATTTGCCTTAATTACTGGGTGATGACAATGCAGCTCAGCCATCAGCCACCAACATTCCGCTACAGAGTGGCATTCCCTACGATACGCCTTGCGTGAACCTAGCAAAGACCGCAGTCCAACACTTGCGGGTACAGGCCAGGGCAAGATCCGCAACTCAGCAGGAACCCTTGCTCAAAAGAACCCTATTATATTATATTATATGACATTACATTATATTATACTATATTATATTATATTATATTACATTATATTATTCCTTGTCCGGTTGCG